ATGAGGCATTGTTTTCTTTCTTTTCTACAGCATCGCTATTGCATAACCAAATCATTTCTGCACAATAACCCATACCTCGCGGTAGTTTATTCAGAATTTTTGGGATATTATGAAATTTCGATTTAAAAAAAAATAAAAATCAATGGAACAAAATGAAACAAAATACATTTTATTTGATGCAACAATAGTTTATCAGAAATATAACACATAAAATATAATAACAATGTCAATATTGATGAACAAAACACAAAAAAATGAGTAATTTTCTAACAATAATACTAAAACAATCAAAAATGCCCATTACATGAATCAATAAAATTCCGAGTGCCAATGAAACACGGTTAGGGCAACGAAAAGAAAATATAGGTGACAAAAAATAAATATCTTGCGGACTTATTTATTATACAAAAAATTATAAAGATACAAAAAAAAAAAGAAAAAAAAGAGAGACAACTCTTACATTTGTACCAATAATAATTCTTCAAGTTTATTTGGTAAAAAGGTACAACAACATTACAATATCATACAGTACCCAATAAATGTTTTGGCATTAATAATTTATATAGTTGATTACATTAACATTATATCAGTCTCTTAAAAGAAAGTTATTACACTTTCATAAATTACAAGATAGGTAATGGCTATTCCTACGAAACATAAAATTCTAAATCCCAAAAAGTCATACATACAATTTACAACATACAATATAGCACTTTTTATATACGAATATAATACAGTAGGCATTACCAATCAATAAATTACTTCAAATGTAATTTGTGTATGAATAACATTACAACAAACAATGTACTTTACTGTCATAGCAAAAATGTCACAATGAACAACAATAACAAAGTTTCACATACTTTACACAATAATCATAAATTTCTACATAATGTACAAATAACATACTATGTTGTGAGAAAATCACACTGTATACAACAATAATAAACTTTTACATTCTGAACAAAACTATAATAAACTTTCACATTATGTACAGATAACAACATACCATATTGTGATATAAAATATATCACACTTTATAGCAATAATAATCTTTGTCAGTATATACAGAAAACAACATATATTGTGGTTTAACAAAAATCACACTATTCAACAATAATAAACTTTAACATTATGTAAAATAACAACATACGATATTGTGGTATACAAATATTACATTGTAAAAATAACACTGTTGTATGTAATATAAAAATGAACTTGAAATATAGGCCTATTTGGCATATACATGTAATAACAAATATAGAATATAATCTTGACTATTGTGATGTATAAAATACTTCCCAGACCAAAATGTCTTTCCTGGTGGGTATTGCCCACCGCATTCCTTACAACCTTTCTGGTCCAGGTATTCAGATAACATCGCGAGTTCAACCACTCGTCTACCCTGCGACCAGGTTAAACAGTTATTGGCGTATTAGTGATCACTAATGCTGGAGGGATTCTCGTCGTACGTCGATGTCGGCTCATCAGTAAAATTGTCAGCAAGCTTAGTAGTGGCCTCAGTAGCCAGCGTCTCTTCAATGTGTGATCGAATGTCACTTTGTTTCGTCGCATAGTCGTGGTCTAGCATTTGATATTGGACATTGTTGTTGTTGTTATTGTCCGTTAAAGCGTTTAGTTTACATTTAAAACGGCTGATTTTACGTCGGACTTGCATGTCGACCATCACTGCCACGACGTTGTTTATATCGTTTTTGGCCCACACTTTCGCGATTGGAGATTTTCAACGCAAGGGACACAATTCTGTAGTCGAAACGTTATTCAAACGAAATATATTCAAGGGAGGATAACAACATTGTCGAAATGGTAATCAGGGGCAGTAGACTCTAACACTGAAAAACGACGGTGGAATTCTTTAGTGTTTTGCTCTGGCTGGGACGGGGATCCTTAAAGCCAAATACTGTTTTAAATGTTTAGATTCGACGTTTTGATCGTTTAATCAAAGTAAGTTGGTTTGAGCACAAACTCCATGCTTCATCAGGAGAACGGTTTCATGAATACGTGCCCTGTTCCCGTTATAAATTAATAAAAAAAAATCTAGTTTTGTCAATGATTTGGAAAAACATTAAGGAGCGTTAAAACCAAATACAGCTTTATATTTTTCCATTTGATCTTTTGATCGTTTGACATGTTTTAAGCGAGATGCACCAATGTTGGTTTGAGCACAGAATCTATGCATGAGCATGAGAACGGTTTCTTGAATACAGGCACGGGTTTTAAATAAAATGGCAAGTTTTTACAATTGATATCAGATACATGTATCAACCGTCTTTACCGCTTATTTATTTACTTATTTCCTTGTTTACCAGAGATATTGTATATTTATTTCACTGGTGCTTTAATCACATCGGTTAAGCAAATTGATCAGTAATCCAGTTCCCCCACTATCCAAGCAGTGTTTTACAGAACAGATAGGCCTGTTATATTATTGTACTGGTAATCTAGCCGTCGAACAACCCACGCACGTCTGTTTGGAAAGTATGTCGCTTCATTATCGAAGCTCAAACTTTTATTTAGGAGACAAACATCGTAGCTTTTCCGACTAGGAGTGCAGTAGCAATATGTATAAATATATACATAATGAAAGTAAGCCAGTGTTTAACACTATAGTTAAAAAAGGAGAAATATTAAAATACTGATTAATTAAATCACACCGTTGTCTCCAAAATAGTGTTTACAAACGAATTTTACATGCGAGAAGTATGCCACAGTATGAAGTTTTTTCGAGACTAAGACAATCAGAGTTAGGTCCCCTTCAAACCCCAACAGTGACATACATTTGAGGTAATATTATGATATAGGGAAGAAATTATGAGCACTTCATTGCTTTTAATTTACAAATAGTAACATGCACGTCAATATGAAGACGAGTAGATATTTGCATGATTTTGCAACTTCGATTACCTAAACACTCTTTTCAATATGACGAATTGTATATATCATACATCACGAATGTACTTACACACTTGTACTGCATGCTTTGTAGTCAACATACCACATACCCTGATCTCAGTTTGAATACTATTTTGACAGGAGCATTTATGGGGTGTTTATGATAACCTATCTCAATATTGGCAAATTCAGTTAGTGCAAGTTATTTACTACCGCGAGTCTTCCCTATGTACTAGTTTGACAATGTCAAAATCTATTAAGTGCGTTGTGCCCTTTGTCCAAACCCAGATGGCTTCTGTGATGCCTCAGTAATATGTAAAGAGAGATACGTTATTGTGTAACGTTAAAACAGATAAGAAATTACTCTAGTAGCTCACTTATAAAGCTTTAAACATTTATTCAGACACCAGGATTTGTCATATAACTATTGATTTACAATGATGGAGGCAAGGCGCATAAATGTTTGTTGACAAATGGATAAGCCTTTTTGTTCTATCTTACACTCTCTCTTGATAGATAGGTTCTTGCTTTTCGTAATATATGAGCTGTAAGCATAACAGATATTGATTAATTGACACTTTTAAGCAAACGGTGGAGAAAGAGTTATCTACAGAGGTATGCAGACCAATGATATTGTAAGTCATGCATTCACGAGGTTGTTTTAAACATATAGCCACAGAGGGGAATACGCGCTACCTGTGTGCTACCTGTGCTGTGTTACATTTTTGTACCTGTGTTGTTCTTCCTGGAGGCGTATCACTATGCAGACATCCACATGTTTTTTTCTAAATCCGCCCGATAAATTATTGCAAATATAAGGGATCATGAATAAAATAAACTTCGATATAATGTTTTTCGTTTTATTTGCCACCGCGATTACAGCCCATATATTCAAAAATCAAAGCAACATTCCCTCTTTTTCTTAATAATTCCTTTGTACATTTCCCTCAATTTTTCCAATTGTCCGGTCCAATGAAATATTTCATTATGAATTTACGACGTTTTTTTAAATAAAAAAAAATGAAAGGTTGTTCCGATCTTTCATAGATTTAATCATTGTCACTAAAATACTTCGTGTAAAGTTACAAAAATGTAGGTTAACTATCTAAAGAAAAAAGAAGGTGAAGAAGGACATAATGAATGCTAAGAAATGTCCTCTAACACGTGTATAAAAAGTTGTCATATTTCTCAGTTTATTAACTCATTGATTCAACGTGCACATGAAATAGATACGTTAACAAGTGTATGGTACCTTGAATAAATATGAAAAAAACATACCTTTCACATGACATTTTAAGCGTAAATATGCATATGGAAAAGTCAATAACGATAATATTGTTTTAAATAAAAAAAAATCTAAATTATTTTCATATTCATTGTTTTCCTCCCCTCAAACATTTTATTTTTCACAGACCGAGGATTTCCGATCGATGGTCGTTAAGCTTAGAGGTCATTTGGAAAAAATGGGTTTAGTTGGCTTTTTAATGGAGATATATATAATATAATAGTATGCAAATGATAAACAGTTTATCATAGACTATTTTCAGTGTTCGTCGCTCGAACGATTTTCTTGAATCCACAAGAGGTGGCCTCTCGATTTGGTTCACGTGCTCGCGATGAGAAAATTATTCTCACGACAAACCCCGAAAACACATTGTGATAATATAATCTATATACATTCAGGCAATCCGCCCAGAAATGTGAATGGCAAAATAAAACATGAGATTGCCAGAGAAACAAAATATTGCTATTGACATATCATCATTTAAACAACACATATATAATTACAGGAATAATAGATAATAAACGTATGTTACGACCCATATATCTACAGTAAATACTAAAAATACTTTGAAATAACAGTTTGAAAGTTTCTTATATAACTATAATGACTAGACGTTATGTTTCCCGATAAACCGTAATTATCATGAATACACAATGTGCATCATTTGTATTACATTTGTTATGATGCAATATTATAGATATAGAGGGTGGTATAGAAACCTGTGTGTCACAGTGCATACACGTATAAATAACACAGATTTACTAATTATAAGTATAGACAGTTACGTCACATCCCAACTATACTGTTTACAAATGGCTGGTGTATACTAACAGCGAGAAATGGGAGGGTGTATATCACAAGTCCCCACTGTACAGCATGCAGGTGAGTGACGAATTACAACAAATGCGTGTGTTGTATACATATAAAGCACTGTTATATTCTCTGAACAATATATCGGTAATGTTTAGATTAGACCCCCGTTGTCAATACACATACACATAAACATCATATAAAAATGTGTCTGAAAGTGATCGGACCACGCGAACATTGATTGTTTTAAACATTTACATAATGACATAACACAAATAAAAAAGAAAATATAACACAACTGATGATTATTCTTTAAAATCTTAATATAACCAATAAAATACGAATTCAGTATCAAGTGTACTATTTCGTCACTGAATCGATGCTATATTAAGAAAAACCAGTAGGTTACATTGAAATTGGTGTAGCTATTAATAGTTCTTCTACAGGTGTCCCTTAAAACTCAACATGTACATGTATATTTTGATATCTATTGAAAGTCGATTTATTTACACAACTCTCACCTGAGGTGTAAAATCTATCGATTTTCCTATTTGTATAGTGAATTATATTGTTGATTTATTTTATTTATGACATATAGGTGTAAAATGACACATAACTACCTTAAATACAATACAATATACACTGTATCATAACATGATTCACATGTTTATTATCATAGCAAGATCGATACGATCGGATAATTTTAAAATGAAGCGACGATAAATTGATTTGTTACGAATCTCAATCACTTATCGGAGAAAAGGGTCAAACCCTCTACTATCTATAAGTTCTGTTATCTTCTTTTGTTTTAGATAATGACAATGCAGTTGAGCTAACCCGGGTAAGTGTATAGACACTCTTTTTTATTATCATTTCAATTCACATTAAACTTATAAATACGATGGCCGATATCAGCCGGCACAAAACAACTACAACAGAATACGTTTATGTACATGTATACAATATAACTATAATATAAAAAATATGTACATGTACACGTTTAAAAAACTGTACATGTACACAATACAATATAAATCATCTATGTACATGTACACTTTTAAAAAACTGTACATGCAACTTTATATTTCACACGTGCCTAATGCGGTGGTGAATTAAGGAAAGGGAATATGTTCATAAATCACCGAAGACGCGATAGAGTTCACCATACATTGTTGCTACGTAGACTGTACACAATATTTTCAATAGTTAATGCTTGAAGACGACCTAATCTCATTACCTGAACATGGATATACTAGAAAAGTTTGACACTGGTAATTATCAGGTGTTTAATTTTCTTATCTTTTCTTTGTCACCTGTTGCTCAGTATAAAAACAAAAAACACGGAAAAATTGTGTAATTTATCATGTTCCTTTTACAGTCCCTGAGAAACCTACAATACAAACAATAAAAACTAAACAACTTACAACTAATACAGAAGCGTGTCTTATAATCTTATCCTAAACCCAAATTTTAATGTTTATTCTTGAGCTGCAGTGCAAAAACCAGATTCCCCTTTTCTTCCTTTTTATGTGGACTTTCTCCTTTTTTCTTTGCTATTTTCTTTTCTCTTTTCTTTTCTCTCTCTCTCTGTTCTCATAAAGGCAATATATGTGTACATGTGTACCATTACATGTACTGGCGTGAATTAAGTATACCAACTGATGCAAGTAAGAGTATAATTATATGAGTCGTGTGAGGTAAGAATATATGATATGAAATGTTTGATTGTAATTGTACCATATATTGCGAAAAAACTTGAATAAAAAGAAAATTACAAAAACTTCCGCGTCGACCGAGGTACCAGACCTCTGAGTACAGACCGCTATATATATATTAATTAAAATAACTAAATATAACATTCACACGATAGTTATAACATTAATACTGCAATATATACCGAGTATGGTGTTCCTAGGATAGTTCGTTATCGAATGCTAGCGGCAATGTCTCTATACGCCTCTAGATATATACAACAATTACGAGTTGGATTGTAAGAATGACCACTGGGCAGTAAGTATTTTCCCAGTAGCCGAAATATAGAGGCGGGAATATAGGGTGCTTTATTCGTACAATGGGCAGGTCCAAGGTCTACGTCGTAAGTACAATTCAGTCAGAATGTTGAAACTGAACACAGCAACACAGGTATATACATTCCGAACTGATGACGTCACAGACACTGTTTACCAGACGGGACAACACACGTGTATACAGACAGTTGACAACACTCGTTGTAATATATATATATCAATTATATACCTGGGTTATATACTGCCCTACTGGGGGAAATGTGTCCCACATTTGTTATAACCTTAAAATAGCATGGACTAAAAATCTTTTAAAGCGAAATCCAGTCATATCGCCTTGTCACAGCTACATAAGTCTGAAACCTGTACAAAACAATGAAATTCATGCAATGTTTTATAACCAAATCAATTAAAACCTGCAAAGTAATTATCTAAATGAAAATAGGTAATACAACCAATCAATCACGATGACATTTAATTACAAATTCTTGAAGATAATCTGTTAACTCCATCTTCCTCCGAATATCTGCCTGTGCTCAATGGAAAACCTGAAAGTATCGACTATCTTGCAAAACGTTGTGAAACGATTTTTATTCACCTAAACCCCAGTTTACAGTTGATTGGTCATATGTCCAAGTTTTAATTGGAAAGGATTGTAACAGACATGAACCATCGTTATATTCATATCTATGTTAGCATTATCTAATAATTGATTGGAGTCATGGAGTAGAACGTTTCATTGAATTATGAGTAGTTGAGTACTAAAGTCAAATATAATATAATAATTTTTGTAACACATGTTTTATGTAGGTTGTTCTGAGAGAAATAACCAGTGTTTATACCAAAAGCTATAGCCTTCAAACTTATGATGTCACATGGGGCACTTCATATTTCATATTGTGGGTTATTGAGTTGAAATTATAATTCTATATACATAATAAGTTACTACATGTTTTTGTTGTGTCTCCAACTATTACTCCAAAATGTCACATAAAAATCACATGATATTTGTTTACATGTACTTATGATTTGTCTACTATATTCTTGTGGATTTCTAGTGGAATATCTACATGCATCTGAGTACGTCTGATCGCTGATGAAATGTCTGTAGCGATATAATTGGGCGTATATTGATGCATTCCGTATCAAGTTTTCAATTTAATTTGGATCCATTATATTTGTATAAAGTAAACTAGGGCTTGGTTGCCCTTGCTGCAGTTTACTTTTCGCACAACGACATTTCTGGGTTTCTTGATTACAGGTGTAAGGTACATGTACAGTTTTTAAAAGTGTACATTACATAAATGTGTTATATTGTAGTTGTATTGTGTAGATGTACAGTTTTTAAAAAGCGTACATGTACATATATTTCTTATATTGTAGTTGTTTTGTGTCAGCTGCTATCGGCCATCGTATATAAACTAATCCATATGCGTATATGTACAAATGATCTGGAACACAAAATTTCGAGTGACGATGTTGTAAGTGTAAGCTTCATATTCAATTCGTTTAGTATCGGGTGTAGATCATCCTCGATACTCCAGGGGTTACACTCACTGTCGTTCTGCACCCCTTGTATATGTCATAGCAAAATTGAAGGCTCCACCTTGCGGATGAGACGAAAAGACTAGTTGGATCCTTTGATGAGCAACAGAATATGTCGGTCGCGTTACGGTAAAATTGATTGGCTTTAAAGGTAGTTGGATCTTCTGTTTAATCCTCAAAGGGAAGTTATCAATCTTAGCGATTGTGCAGGTTTTTCTTACCTAGGCAAACCAAATAGCTAGTCTCGTGCCTTCAATATTGCTATTATATATACCAGGGGTGCAAGGAGTGACAGTGAGGAATATTGTGGATGGGTGCAGATATTAGTCGTTCCTTATAACAGATTAAGTTATATATACCTCTGTATGTGTTTGCTAAAATATGCATGTATGAATGTGTGTGTGTGTGTGTGTATAGGTTTTGTATAATATATAATATATATTAATGGTGTCCCATTGAATACCTTATATATATAAAAATATTGCACGAGCATGGCAGAATACCGATATTTTTCACGAATGCGGTGTGCAAAATATCGCTACTCTTCCATACTAGTGAAATATAAAGAGTATTCAATGGGAAAAAACATTATATTTTCAATTATTACATTTAAAACTACCTACATCAACGAAAATTACATCATCAAAGCAGTCGGGGATGTAACAGCGTAATCTTTGGCGTCATATTCTAATGACGTCACGTTTGAAAACATGGCTGCTTGTCCTACCGTTTTCTGGTATTGTTTCATTAGATTTGCTTCAATTGTGTAGATTAAATCATACCGTTGTGCATGAAGCGAAAATCTATCAGAATTACTTATTCTTCATCATTATCCGAATTTATTAAACGTGATATTTTAACTATGAGAAGATGTAACTTTTGATGTCTATCACAATGTGAAAGATATTATTTTTATCAAGTTCTAACTGCCTAGGCCGCCCGTCCTCATGTGATACTGGCTGTTGCAGCCATGTCTTTTCCTTTATAGAAAGCTGGCGGTTATCGTGGTTTTTCTTTGGGAGCAAAACAATAATAAACCATTTTCATTCTAACGCTTACACTTGGCAAGTTATTATGCTAATAAATGAAATTCAGGACCATAAAAGCATATCTTTAGACCCCCAAAACATATAAAACGGACATCTAGAAGCAAACCTATGTATGTTTTTGATTTACCGGACATCGGTTGGCGGCCATTTTTAAATTTTGACTGCAATTTTAACTGTGATAATTCTGTTTATCTAATTCATACGTGAGTATCATATAACTTTGATGTTCGTGATGTAGTACCTGAGATTCGTATTATCACTCAGGAACACAATTTCGGGACAACATAGGAAAAGTTTTACAGAAAACATAATATGCGCTTATATACCATTTGTAGGACGCATAAGCATATTGTTATCACATTTCCCTTTTTTTTCTTTTTTTACCTGCCAAACTTGTGTATGTGCGTATGTAAGTGTTATCGATCACGATTACGTCATATAACAACGTGTACTATTATGTGTATAGGTAATGGGGTGGTACATCATTGTTTATCTCTTTAATGTACGAGTAAATAATATATTTAGACTTCATGATTTCAGTCTCTCTTAATCATATTGTTTTGTTTAGGTTTCACATTTAGAAAGGAATCCTGCTAGTGAACAAAACACAAACGAGCAACAGCATCAGATTGAATGTCTAAAAGAGAGAATTCAACAACTCGAAGCCGAAGTGACACGTGTTAAAGAGCGAATGTTACATGGTGAAGAGCAAAGAGCGTGTGAAAAAAAGCAAATTGAGGAACTTGAAAAGAAAGTCGTGGATCTTAAAGCTGAGTCAGAGAATAAAACACGTAAATTAGCTGCACTTCAATCGGAATTGGAAAGAAGACCCACGAGTACATATAACATACAACACGTTGATACAGTCCACGCTTCAGACACGGCAACTCATGCAAAGACATTGACTACTTATACGTCTAGTGAAATGCTGGTCGACAACTCGCAAACTGTCAATTCAACGGAAGAGCACATTTCCGTCAACGAAAACACTGAAACTCGTACAGACAGCACTGATCAAATACCAAAGCCGAGACCCGATTGGAAATTATAATGAATCGTTTATTTAACATACTGAATTAGGGGTATATTTTGCATTTCCATATTTCCATGTTGGCATGAAGTGCAGGGACGACCATAAATATTCCAAGAAACACATTGTCGCTGTTTTGTAATACTATGATTTCCTGGGACCCAATATCGTGCTTTCCGGACAAAACACCATTTTGTGGGTACATGAACTCGTTGATTATTTCATTTAGGACCTATGATTACCTATCTTGTTTTTTTTAAATATCGCGTTCTATAGTGTAGTTAAAAGCATATTTATCGAAACAATACCTTATTTTTTGTATTTCAAAACAAGCAGTTACGATTACATATACTTATTTTTAGTTACTTTGATGCTAAATCACAAATGTTTATTTAAGAGACAAACATTGTAGCTTTTCTGACTAGGAGTGCAGTAACATTATATATTTATAGGTTATTACATGCCTGTTTTCATATCAGACCCCAGATTGGCCCAAACTACCTATTTCAGGCCCAAGGGCCGAAGGCCCGCGGGCCTTATATAGGTTGAGGGCTTATATAGGGTCTGATATGAAAACAAGCTTGTTATAACATTTTTATCATATACATTTTACTAATGAAAAACACATTTAAACAATACACTTCCGAACCATGTCCCGAAGAGCTGTATGTCATTCTGACCATGATATCGACAAAACCAACGGTGTCTTCCCTTTCGATGTTAACAAACCTTGCCTCTTCCAACCTTTGGTCATTTTCGTTGTCGATAAGTTCATCTAAATCATGTATTAGTTGAGGTAACGACTCGAGCACTGCCTCTCCATGAGCTCCTATTGTAGACGAGAGGTGCAGACGACAACAACAACAAACCTCTAGAATTTGAAGTGGTCACCGGACCGGACTGTGTTGAAGACCCGGATGCGGGCTGATATATCCGGTAGCGGGCTGATATTGATAGATTTTTACACGGGCGGGCAATATCGACAATCGGAATGATACAGTATCACGTATGCAATTTTGTCGATATTTCCAGCAAGTATATGAATAGAATCAAAAAATCCAGTATTTTACACTATATTTGAAAAAGGAGAAATATCAAAATACTGATTGATTAAACCACCCCGAAAGTTGTCTCCAAAATAGACTTTAAAAACGAATTTCACATGCGAGAAGTATGAGATAATATGGAGTGCTTTTGAGACTAAGACGATCACAGTTACGTCCCCTTCAAACCCCAACAATGACATACAATTGAGGTAATATTAAGATAAAGGGAAAAATTATGAGCACTGCAATGCTTTCAATTTACAAAATGTAACATGCACGTCAATGTGAAGACGAGTAGATATTTGCATAATTTTGCAATGTTCGATTACCTAATCACTCGTTTCTACAAGACGAATTGTTTTTATCTTTGAATGTACTTGCACACTTGTACTGCATGCTTTGTTGTCAACATACCACAACCCCTGATTTTAGTTTTAATAGTATTTTGACAGGAGTATTTCTGGGGTGCTTATGATAACCTATCACAATATTGGCAAGTTCAGTTAGTGCAAGTTAATTACTACCGTGAGTCTTCCCAATGTACCAGTTTGACAATGTCAAAACCAATGAAGTGCCTGCTGTCATTTGTCTAAACCCAGATTACTTCTGTAATGCCTCAATGATATGTAAAGGGAGATATGCTTAAAGTCATCATTATAATTTTTATGAAGCGTTATTACACAGATACAAAAATACTCCTAATGCTAACTAGTTCAATGTCACCTCCCTTTTTGAAGCATAAAAACATTTATTCAGACATAAGGATATGTATTTATGTATTGATTTACAATGGGATAAGGCGAGTCCATATTTGTTGACAAATGGATAAGCCTTATTATTCTTTCTTACACTCTCACTTAATAAATAGGTTCTTGATTTTCTAAATATGTTAGTTGTTTGCATAACAAATATTGATTCATCAAACTTTAACCAAATGGTGGAAAACGAAGGATGCAGGCCTATGATAATGTAAATCATAAATTCAGGGTATATTTTATGTAACCCCCACACAGAGGGGTACATTTTGTGTATTCCTCACACATAGGGGTACATTTTGTGTATACCCCACCAGAGGGGTATATTGTGTATATACCCCACACATAGGGGTACATTTTGTGTATACCCCACCAGAGGGGTATATTGTGTGTATACCCCACACAGAGGAGTACATTTTGTGCATACCCCACACAGAGGGGTACATTTTGTGTATACCCCACACGGAGGGGTACACATTTTGTATACCCCACACAAAGGGGTGTATTTTGTGTAAACCCGACACGGATGAATACAGTGTGTGTATACCCCACACAGAGGTGTACATTTTGTGTATACCCCACACATAGGGGTACATTTTGTGTATACCCCACACAGAGGGGTACATTTTGTGTATACCCCATACAGAGGGTAACATTTTGTGTATACCCCACACAGAGGGGTACATTTTGTGTATACCCCATACAGAGAGGTACATTTTGTGTATACCCCACACAGAGGGGTGCAAGTGTTTTATACCCCACACAGAGGGGTGTATTTTGTGTATATCCCACACAGATGAGTTCAGTTTGTGTATACCCCACACAGAGGGATACATTTTGTTTAAAATTACTGATACATTGACAATTGATTCCAGTTACATTTTGTGTTGAGATAATGCACTAAATAAACCAACTTGGGTACCAACGTTTGGCTTTTTTTATATTAGTTCTAAGTTAATCTTGGGTCATGAAACATGAGTTTAAGATACATCACAGTAATGTTAAATGTAATGTCCTATTTTAAAATAAACGAAGCTCTTAAATAAAAAGAAAAGCTTTTTCCGATCTTTCATCGATTTATTCATTGTCATTTAAATATATCGTACATAAGTTACAAAAGTTGGTCTTACTCTCTAAAGAAAAAGGAAAAAAGAAGGTTATTATGAATGAAAAGAAATGTCATCTAACACGTGTTTAAAACGTTGTCATATTTCTCAGTTAATTAATTCATTGATTCAACGTGCACCATAGCGAACAAGCGTATGCTACCTTAAACAATTATGAAAGAACTTCATACCTCTCACATGACAAACTGGATAATATCATCAGGAAGTGTCTGTTTTAAAGGACGTCCTGCTGGTGTCGTTAAACGTCTCGTATGTGAGAGACAAATCGGTATTTTGATAGTAACGTTTCAAGAGTATTTTCAATGTTTTAATTTTCAATTGTAGAAGTGGATTCAGCTTTTTTCTTTTTCCCTTATACCTCTTCTTTTTTCTTTTTCTTTTCTCTTCTTCTTTATCGCAGCTGTCATACAGCTGCCAATGTCAGCCATCTTGTTAATTTTGCTATTATAACGTAATTATATGTATCACACAATACAAATAGGCCCTTTATTTTGATTGGCGAAACAGGTAAGTCATATAAGTATTCAATGTCTGAATATTTATCATCTGTTCAAAAATTGTAGATTCTAGAAAGTAAAAATGTGCATCATTTGTATTATTTTGTATTATGCAATATTAAAGATATAGAGGGTAGTATAGAAAAAAGTGTGTCATAGTTCATACATGTATAAAGAAAACGGATTCACCAGTTCTAAGTACAGACAGTTACGTCACATCCTAGTGATACTGTTTACAAATGGCTGATGTATACTAACAGTGAGACATGGGAGTCTGTACATCAGCAGGCGCCACGGTCCAACATTCAGGTACGTAAAGTATCACAACAAATGCCTTTTTGTAGATGTACCAATGAATATTTATCATGTAAAGATATAACACAATGTTATGTTCTCTGACAAATATACTGGTACATGTTTAACTTAGACCTCCGTTGTCAATACACTAACAAACACACATAAATGAAAGGTGTTGGACTATTCTAATATTGCAGGTATATCAATAAAATGAAAAATATCACGTGGGAATGCTGCAAATCGTTATGTTATTGTTACAAATCTCAATAAACACACTGATATTAATATTCATCGTGAATTTTTCGTCCCTAAATCGAATCTATATTAAGGCAAAATGGTATTGGTAAATTATGTTGTAATTGATTTCGTGCTTACATTGTAAGTAATAACCTAATATATATAATGTTATAAACTGTCCTTTTAAACCGAACAGGGCTCTCCGACTGATGTCCTTCTAATTTACATTTCAATGGAAAACATTGACAAAAGCGAACGATTAAAGCTGATCAATAACTCTGCTCTGGCTTGAGGTTTAAAATCTATCGATTTCTCTTTTATATATATTGAATTATATTGTTGATCTAATTAGCGTCATTGACAGTATATCAATAACTTGATTCACAGGTTTAATGCCCGTACACATTTGTAGCAACATCGATACAATCGAATATCTGTACATTGTTGAGTAATAATATGTTGGCGTCTTTCTACTATTCTAACTATGCATCAACATTTACGTTTCTCAATCGCTTATCGGAGGAAAGAGTCAAACTATCTACTTTTTATTAGTACCTATATCTTCTTTGTTTAGATGATGACAATGCAGCTGAATCAATTCGGGTAAGTTTATATACACATATTTATTTTCATTTAAATTCACATTTTATTTATAAACCAATGTGCGATTTATGTACAAATGATATGGACTCCATATTTTGAGGAACGTTGTTGCAATTATCAGCTTCTTATTCAGTTCGTGTAACACCGGGTGCAGATGATTTTATGTATGTTTGAAATGTGTTTGTTTATATATGCATGTATGAATATAAATGTGTGTGTGTGGGAGGGTTAGTAGGAGGTTTGGATAGTTTATAGAGGATATTAAGTGGCTTCCCGTTGAAGAACCTATATATATATATATATATATATATATATATATACACTGTATATATATATTTCACGAGTATGGCAGCATTACGATAATTTTCACGAGTGTAACGTACGAATGAAAACATATACTTAGTCTGCCCTACAAGTGAAATATATATGGTAAAGTGGGTAAACAATCGAGTTGCCTTTTTATAACATTTTTAAACTACCTGCAATAATGAAAATCACTGCATCAATACAGTTGGGGAATCAATAGTGTACATTTTGGCGCCATGTTCTAATGCAGTCATACTTGACAACAATGTCAACAAAATTTGTAAATGCGCTACTCAGCACGATTTTGATGTTTCATGTTATTATTAGTTACGGAGAAATTTCACAAATGGTAACAATTATGTTGTCAAGTAAATAACGTAGTGTCTGTAACAAATATATTCCAAAATAACTACTCCCTCTTCTGTCGCCTCATCATTTTCTGAACAGAAAATTTGTGGGTTTTAGCAAGTAAAGAAAACAGCACGATGTAACTTCTTGTTAGCGCAGGATGGATATTTCTCAAAATTAACGTTAATGTCCCCGTGGTCTCCATTTACATATATGCATGTCAAATTATATTAGCACTGCATAGTTTAAATGGCATACTCTTACAAAATAAAGGGCATGTTTGAGATACACAAGGATAGCAGATTCATTCTGCACAACACCTTCATATATTTACATATATATTTATAAACTACACCACTATAAATGAAAGTATTTTAGATTTGTTTTTTTCAAAGCGTGTTTCCGACAAACGAGGTGTTGCATTGCGGCCCACGACAGATTTAATATTTCTTAGAATAAAATAATTATTTGGCATAAAATACACATCAAAACAATGTTAATTCCTCAAATAGAACCAATTTGTGACTGCGCAGCGCCCCGAGCATTGATTTTCAAGATGCCCATGACAACATGTGCCTTTCATGCATTATATTTCGAAATACACAGAACATAACAAAAATCGTCTTCTGTTGTTAAATGGCACTTTCAATACCCTTTCCGACGGCATAGAGGAATTGCCCATGTGTGATGTCATTTTCTTGCAAATAACATGTTTACTCATTATTTGTCATAAAATGTTAACAATAACATTTTTGCATTTTTCGTTGAATTGACAGGATAAGCATGATACAGGTCGGGTTCAATCAAATTTGTACACATACAAATATCTCTAGGTATCCATCTTTCTTGCGTATAAATCTTGTTAAGATGTTTCACTGGATATGCCCACTTTCGGAACTTCTTTCCCCGTACCCTCTTATCTTTTTGCTAAATAATAAAGTACTAAAAGTTTGGAGTGACGCGCTTATAGAAAGTGTATTGTACATTATTTTTTCAATATTAATTCAACCAGAATTTCGTATGGGACAACAAGGGGAGATGAGAATAAGATTTTTGTATAAATTAGGAATGTGACTCATGTATAACTTTAGTTGGACCCTAAAAAATAGCTGTTTCAGTCATGAAATATGCTCCCATTCGTTTCCAAACCTTTTTTCAGATTGATAAATATGGATTTAAAAAGGTTTATGTACCAAAATCAGTTAATTGTTTGGAGTGTAGATGTGAAATTGTGATTACTAGCATGATATGTACGCTATCACTTTCATCAGACAAATGACCAGTAAAACAAACATGTATATATACAAATATGCAAAATATGCACGGGTTGACAACTACAATCTGTCCATTAGGCTACGCTATACGTGTGTGTACACTTGTTGTGCAGTAGGTTGAATCAAATCGACTAATCGATAAACCTGCACTTTATTTTATGCCTGGTGATAGATGTGCGAGGGTCTATCGTTACAGAAAAGGTCATTAGCTCTGTGAAAATCTCTTTGTCATAGTTTTATTTTGGAATGTACAAAATACATATATTCACAATAAGCCCGGTCGAATTTTGAAATGATTAAAAACCGAACAAGCAGATTTCCGGACAAGATAGAAATACTGAAAAAAGGGTGATAACTCTTTTAAAAATCGTTGAATCCTAAAGTGAAAGCACAACTTGGTCATAATAGTAAAGCCTGCATGTTTTCAGGACGGAAATCCGAAATCCCCAGACAAGATATAAAGCTGGAAAATTCTAATTCTTTTTAAAGATCATCTTACCTAAATTCTGAAAGTGAAAGCATGACTTAACGTCATGGTTATAAATCATAGCTAGTCATGCTGAATCATGGAGGATTATAGTCCATTGTGTATCTTTTATTTTCAATGCTTCTTAGTTTGCCCCATGTTGTTAAAGTTTCACTACGCCAAAATGTTACATTTAATGTGTTTGACCTATATTTTGATGTCGCCCATTGCCGATGAAGCAGAAGATGCTTACCTTTTCAGAGAAACTGGACTTATTCCTGTTGTGCATTGTCTTTTGTTTCCTCTTCCTTAAAATATTTTGTTTATATTACAATAAATGTGAAGTGTCCAAAATAGTGCAACATGGGCAAATAAGTCTAACTAACGGTTATCAATCAAACTAGATATTTTGATGTTTTGAGTTTGGAACATACAAAAGTCCTTAAAATTGAATGTTTACCACTTGTCAGACTAGGTGGCACTTCTGCATTACTGAATAATGCAGTATTGTCAAATCAAGTGAACCTCCATTACTGAATCACATTCTAAACTTTCCTTATATGACACCCGATATTGATGGTACAATGAGTTTGAAATAAACAATATAGGAACATCTACTTAGGCTTTCTCTTCACACAGACCTTTAAAAATTGAATATGTTCGACTTCTTAAAAACATTGGGTTTATTGAAATGAATCGTTTTACTGGTGTTTAAAATGATTGCTCAATCATGTATTGTTTCGCAAGTCTATCTGAAATTACAAAAGGTTGCCCTACCTAAGATTTGCTGCCAATCATTCAATTTTCAATTGACCGTGACCGCCATTGTGTTGGGCTATTGGTGTTCAAAGGACCTGTTACAGGAACAAAAGAATTTTGCCCACAAAGCAATTTAACCATTACTGGGTTATATTTGTAGCTCCCTAAGACACGACCCATGAGATATTTTTTAAAAATTAAAAAGGTCCCCAGGGCCTGTGCTATGAACTATTTAGTGCCGCCTTCCAAAGGTGTACGACAGGGTTCACTTTTTTGTCCAAAAAACTATCAAAACAATGTTTTCCCTACCAAATAATATTATATTATTTAAAATAGGATCTGCTGCAAATTATGAACTCAAATATGTAACAAAACATTGCATAATAAAAAAGTTATAAAATCTTAAACTCTAAAAATGTTGATATTTTCATACACGTTTTTGCTACATCAATTGATTTACGGAAGTAAAACACCAATTTCCGGTTCTTGTACACCGAAAATCTTTTAATATTATTTGGTGCATTATGTTGAGATACGATAGTGAAAGTTTCAGAAAATTTGAGAACCGGTAAATTTGTCATATAAATGTCAAATTGTAGCAACGTCTATTTCCAAATAAAATCCAACAACCTTATGACCTATAGTCATGTTTGATAATTTAACAATACGTCGCACCAATTTATTATCGCAACTGATTAAATTTTCATCAATATGGTCTGCTACTCATGATGAGCCCAACTATAAAGCTAGATGTTGCAAAATAAAAAAGTTATGCAATCTCACAGACATAAAAGTTTAGCATGTTATGTACATTTTTAGTTGTTTCGCATCTTTACGGAAGTGATAGGCATATTTCCGGTTTTTGTACACCAACATACTTTGGATATTATTTGGCACATTATGCTGTATGCTGTTATGTATAAAAATACATATTTTTTCTTGTGAATACATTATGCCTCTGTCCGATCGGGCTAAACAATTATCATGAACTATGACGTCACAACGGAAGAGGACGTCGCAAGTCCGTGTTAATTGACGTCATAATAAGAAGATTGAGCAATGAAACTAGTGCGTAACCATATAAATTTAATTATTGCTAGTAGATTTATCAAATAATTGGGAGTGAGGGAACCTAAAAGATTGTGGGAATAATAAAATTGAGGTTTGTGGTCTATTATCTAAACTAAAGTTGGGTTAAGTTTTTTTCAGAAATGAAATATGTATGTAAATACCTTTTGTAGAATGCATACACCGAACCACGAATATGTTATAATTTTATCGCACTCGTCCATCTCAGGTATGCATACTTGAATTATGTATGGATGTATGACTCGTGTTTTCTGTGACATCATCTTAAGGCATGCATTTGTTTATGTAATGTTTTTTATACATTTATAAATGTGGTACATTATTGTTTGTTTGTTGTGATGCAAGTGTTAAGCATAAATATAGCCTCCTTAAGTTCAGTCTATCTTAATTTATATTCTCATCAATTTGTTCAGATTTCAGAAAGGGATACTGCCATTAAACAACACATAGAAAATCTGGAGCATCACATTGCAGATCTGACTTCAAAAATACAACAACTGGAAGTTAACGTTACAAACAAAGACGAACAAGTAGGCAGTCTTAAGAAAGAACTCGGAGATGTCAAAGAAAAATTAGAGAATGATTTAACTGCATTAAGAACAGACTTCGAGTATCTTCAATCGGAATTGCAAAGAAAACCCACGTCAAATAGTATAACCATACTCCACGCGGACACAGTCAACGCTTCAGACGCGGCAACAAACCATTTTACGGCTAGTGAAATGCAGGTCGATAACTCAAATTTACAAACTGTACATACAAAGGAGAAGCACATTTCTGTTAACGAAAACACTAAAACTCGTACACACAGCACTGATCAAATACCGAAACCGAGACCTAATTGGAAATTATCTAAATGAAACGTTTTTAGCCCACAAATATCAGATGATGGGCTATTCGAATCACACTCCTTCCGCTGTCCGTCTGTTCGACTGTCCGCTATTTCTCAATAAGTCAAATTCATTATGTAGATTCAGCTTGGCCTTTAGTTGTGCATGTTTACTTTTGATACTGATCAAATAAAGAAAAATGCTGACAGACGGCAATCTTGTATTTTGACATTTATCAGAAAGTACATCGTACTGAAGGACTATTTTCAAATTTTGTATATAAGTTTCCAATAAACAGTTTACAATAACATTGGCTATTATAGCAAGTAACATGTGTCATGTTATGTTATGCCATTACGTAATGTTCAGGATTCCCGTTTAGGATTTCCAAAATTGGAATGGGTATTATAACCTTTTAGGAAAATGAAGAGCAAATAAGGTAAAACATCATCTTTTGTAGATCTGTTAAAGATCCTTTTATATTGGGCAGCAAGACCCTTTTAGAGTCTCTTGTTTACATAAGGAATGAAGGGTATTTTTTTAATTTCCACGGTGGCATCAAGTGCAGTGACGACAAAAAAATACTTAATAAAGCGAATAAACGCAAAAAACAGCTGAAGGAAAATGGGTATTGAAAGAAAGTTTTAGAATTATTGGAAAAGTTCATATATTATTGTCTTCAAAGTTACAAAAGACACAACACTGCTATGATTTCAATACCGATTACAAAATTGTATCCTCCCAATTAAAACCTATTTAATAATATTGGGATGTCAAATGGCAATATCTGTAATATCTGCAAAGCAGAAATAGAAACTACAGAACATAAATTCTGGGTGTATCTACAGTCTTTAAAGCAAGTCTAAAGAGAGATTATACAGCAGAATAAGGAAATTCATTAATTTTGTGTTAGAAACAACACATTTGAGAGCTACTAAAAATGCTCCTATACCCATTAACGATACAATTTGGTATACGAAATATTACATATATGCACTGTTTCCAGAAAAAAATGTATGTATGTATGTGTGTATGTACATGTATGTATGTATGTATGTGTGTATGTATGAATGTGTGGGTGTGGGTGTGAGTGTGTTTGTGTGTGTGTGTGTGTGTGTGTGTGTGTGTGTATGTATATGTATGTATGTATGTATGTATGTATGTATGTACATATTTATTATTTATATGTGTGTGTATAAATGTTGTTATTTCGATGTTTATTGACTATGTTACCGTTGTATATTTGAAAATGTCTGAATGTGTGGTCTTTGTGTGAAATGTGGTAGGATGTTATAGTGTTTTGTAGATGTCCAATTCTCTGTTCCTTTTTTATTTCCCAATCAAATTTCTGAATGTTATATTGATGAAAAAATGTTATCACAAAATTGAAATATACGGACGAGAGAAAAATGAACGAGAGCTCTCCTGTGTGAGGACACTATTTATAGTTTAGGAGACGGACTCCAGGGACCCCGACCTTGGCAGTACCTATCAAGTTATTTACATATATATTTATAATATTACTCCCCTGTAATGCAGTGAATACACCCATTTCATATTTTTGCATATTAACTCATCTTATATGACATGGAGCGATTGTGATTGGTTGACCACTTCACACTTTCCCACGATAGAAAATTACTAACGCATTATGCCTCAGGGTAAACATAGCGGACGCAAAATTTCAAGTTGGATCTATGGAATTGTGCATTCTGTGTTTGGAGGAAACATTTACGGTGGACATTTCAGCATTAATATTGATCAACAATCTCCCACATCACTTCCCAAACCAGTGAAACTCCGAAGGATTGTCGAATCGGACAGTGACATTCAGTATCGGTGAAGCTGTTGACACCTCAAATTTCCGCTTAGTGTGACGGTTTGGAATGTTGCACGCTGTGACGTAGCGTGAACCGTGCAAACCTCTAAATTAGTAAAAAGCATTGAAACTATGGATTAAATATTTATTTTTGAGTGTTGTTCGAGTGATTTTTCAAAATATTATTTGTAACTAATTTTTACAGCGCAGATATTTCTGACCTACATTTTGATAATAATATGCTTCGGTCATGTCAATAAAAATGGGAATGGGAATAAAATATTTGAGGGGGAAAAGCACATAAACGCTAAATTGTAATACGCTGAAATCAGATTTTTTATAGGCCCCATATTTTATATGCATGTATGGTGGTATGAATACTATTGTATTAGTTTCATACAAGACAATAACATTGGGAAGGTGCATCTATAGTGGTATGAATACTATGAGAATAGCTTCATACAAGACATTTGCAACTTTATAATGATGGACCCTCATAGTGTTGATGGTTATTTTACTGAAATAAACAATTGTGTTTAACTTTGTCTTTGATATTATTGGATAAGGTGCCCTCGATGGTAACTCTCGAGGGTACAAAATTGTATACGCTCTGTAAAACATTACATATTATGCAAAATTATGGTGATATACGATTCTTTGCATGGATACCAACAAATCTAAATAATACATAATGCCTATGAAAAAGTCAATGTATTGTCAATTTCTGGACACACAATATTAAGGTTGATATATAAATCGATCTCCCATTTTCAAAATGAAATTTTGATTTGGAAATTGAGGTGTCAAAACAACAACTACATAATGTAAGACATTCGTTTGACATGTGTCGATCCAACATAAGACCCACGATGCATGTACATCTCACCTAGATTTATCTGTTATTCAAGCTTACATTCTTATAAAATGAGGCCATTACGGCCATTTTGGCGCTCTGACGGAGTCAAGCATTAAAGAGAAACACATTTAAGACAATTTGAAGTCTCTTCGGTTTTCGGATCGCTTCATACAATATAACATTATAATCCAACCACTAATAATTAAATGAATTTTCCTCTTATATATTTATTCCTCCTTTCCCTAACAAGTCCCGCCCCTCTTCCTTAGAAAGCCAACCGTTATCCTTCAACCAATATTTTATTCACTTGTCACAGGAATGCTGCATTCTTAGGTTGAAATTCCCTCCACTGTACTTCAGGATAAGTATTTTTAAAGTTAATTATCTCCATACACACATATATAAGTTCAAATCTGCCTTCATGTACTGACACATATCTCTCGGCACCCGTGTTCGAATGTATGCATTAGTTAGAGAAATGAAGCATCGACAAATATTATCCTTAATTTACGTCCCCGTCACATACATTGCCATATGAAGAAATTGTCTATAGAGATGACGGGTTCCTTTCAAAGTGACATGAAAATTAAATTTCGAAACCTGGACAGGTACATGTATGGCAATCAAATAGATGAAAATACTGACAAAGTGATACAGTAACAAGTCCTGACCGCCATTCGATTTGACGTATTTTTCTGTCAAGGGACAGAATTTGTAATTTTCTTCGCTTGATTTGATTGTTTGTTTGTTTATGTTTAACGGCCCATCGACGGCTGTGGTCATTTAGGGCCATGCTGATTTTTTTTTTATTTTGATTTTTGATTTTTTTAACAAACATAAAATCAGATAGAATGGTTCATTTTAAAAGCATTCGCATTGTATGTGTAGATAATAAAAAATAAAAAAGGGGTTAAAATAATAAAAGAGATAACGAATAGATGATATGGGATATGTGATATATATAACGTCAAAAATGGTAAGGTGGGTCAAAAGACATCAGAGTCTATAGAATAGACCGATGTCTTTCAAATAGTTAAATAATGCCTTCGAGTCCACGGAAATGAAAATAGTTTTCACATCCGGGACTCAAAAGTAGTTATCACGAATGTGTTTAAAAATCGGAACATTCTATTAAAAAATGTTCCACTGTAAATGGAGTGTCACATGCGTAGCATGAAGGTAGATCTTCTCGTTTTAAAAGGTACGAATGAGTAGGATATGTGTGCCCAGTACGGACAACCTCCTCTCTACTATCTTTCCGACTGGGAATAGATGTTTTAAGTTTCGGTTGTAACTTAAAAGTTTGTTGGTGGTCTCTCGAGACCAGCGTTGCTGCCATTCATTTTGAATGGCTACACGAATGGTAGGTTTAAAATCTATGTATGGTTGTTTGATATTTGTTTGTTTGAGATTTAATGCATTTTTTGCTTCCCTGTCAACACATTCGTTGTCTTTAATTCCGACATGGCTCGGAATCCATAGTAAAGTTATTTTTGACTTATTTAAGATACGAGAAGAGCAAGGTTTTGTATGAGTGTGTTTTTAGGATCTCGTAACTGTAAACTTTGAAGGACAGATAGAGAGTCGGAACATATGATTGCCTTTTTAATGCGGTATTCATCGATATGGTCGAGGGCCAAACCAATGGCGCATGCTTCGGTAGAAAAGATGGAGGCGCCGTCTGGTAGTCGAACTGAAGTGCAAGAATTAGCAGTATAGCAGGCTACTCACACTTTCTCACCTTCTTTGGAACCATCGGTGTAAAGTTGTGTATGAGAAGGGTAATTCGAAATGCATTCCCGAAAGGAGGATTTGTGTTCTTCGGACATAACACTTGATTTCCCTCGCTCATGTAATGAAAAGTTAAAATCAGGTATTTGAATGGTCCAGGAAGGAACATCAGATATGTTTAATTCAGCTATGTCCGTCACCTTTGACGTCTTGATGTTGATGTCTTGCAGGAAATTTGAAATTCGGATACCAATTGCTGGCAGAAGTTTTTGGTTTTGCGTAAATATGTTTTGGTATTTTGGGTTGAATACTTGGTCGAAAGCAGGATTTTTAGGGTTTGATTTTAATTGAGCTGCAAACTGTAATGCAAGTTTTTTTCTTCTGTCATAAAGGGATGGTTCATTTGCTTCCACATACAGACTTTTTACAGGTGTTGTTCGAAAAGCTCCAAGGGCTAGACGTAGCCCTTGGTGATGGATTGGGTTTAGTATCTGCAGGTACGAACTGCGCGCCGTCCCGTATACCATAGAACCATAATCCAGTTTTGTTCGAATAAGTGATCTGTATAGGCGCAAAAGCATTTCACGGTCCGCTCCCCAATCAGTATGAGAAAGGACTCGTATAATGTTTAACGCCTTGGAACACTTTTCCTTCAGATACTTTATGTGTGGTGTGAAAGAGAGTTTCGAATCAAAAATGAGGCCGAGAAATTTAGTCTGTTCAACAACAGGAATTCTAGTGCCATCGAGTGTTAGATTTGGGTCATTGTGTGCTTTTCGTTTTTGACGCTTAAACACTAA